AAAATAAATCTATAGTCGTCTACGTAGCTAATCAGTATTGTGGATTTGTTATCCATAGCTTAGGGGAAACGTTTAGATTATTTAATTGTTTCACGGTTAATTATAACCAGCAAACCCAAAGTCCAAACTACATTGAACTACATGCTTAACAGCAATTAGAATATCGATCATAAAATAAGAAGGTTTTTTTTTTACCTCAACCTTAAAAAAGAATTAGAACGGAGAAATCAATCATAATTCGTCAAAAAATATTATTAATGTTATACATCAGATAAGATCAGTCTGAAAAAATTTTAAATTCACAGTTGCGTAACTATTTTCTCTATATGMTTATTAAAATGACTTAGAAATACAGAAAGAATGTAAAAAGATAGAATAATAATAATGRTGATAATAATTAATYGYCCCAAAACCATKTTTGCAAGACTTCTCATACCTTGCGTGCAGTGGATCGTGACGAAGAAAAATRCAATCGCCAAAGAAATCATRAYTTCCTTCATCACTTACAAATAAGTTACGTCCAAGTGCAGACTGACAGTGGAAGTGTATTGYTTTTGAATGAAGAAGGGTCAAACTCCACAAAAAGTCCAATGGTCCAGTATATATTTTGTTCGYAATAATATATAATTGATTATCTATTGCAGTTTYCAAWTGTATCAAGGTCCACTTGAAATGACCTTGAATGCTCTTCCTCAGGGCGTGGTATTGTGAATTAAACATTGTTATTGTTTATGGAGCAAAGTCCGAGTTTATTCTATTAAGTGTTGGATAGGATAGTTCCTATTTKTGCTAGYAGAGTGCACGTWCGTAGTGAAGTCAYTAAAYCCGTGAAACAAAAGTGAAGTCAATAAACCTGTGAAACAAAATTTGACTATTGAAGWGTGATAGTAAAATAGACACAAAAGAAAATGGAGTTGAGAAAAACGTGGAATTACAGGGTATTAAGGTGCTTAAGTGTAATATCTATTTCACGGATTTTTTTACTTCACTCTAATCCATTAAATAAACATTTCTAATTAATACTAAATAGTGGATATTTAGACAATGGGAAACAAAAGAAAATAGCATAAGTTATTACTATTTTGTGCTATYATAATTAATATTCAGGTTTAAGGTAAAAGTGCATCGATCCTCTCTAATCTTCAGTAATGTACGATAAACCGATAGATCAACATCAGAGTGCTGTCATCAANGTGCACTGAAACAAAACATTTTCGGGCAAGAATTGATGTCAGGAGAAGAAGAATACTGCAAGAAAACCCAAACTTTTATTCTTTCACTGGTGTATTTCATTCTAAGCTCACCAGTTGTCGTACTCTGATGCAAAGCCATGATCATCTATAAAGATGGGTGAAGAAGAATCACTTCCCTTTATATACAATTTTTTCCATCCTCACAACTCAAATTTTCTCATCAAAGTTTGAATAAAATGGAGTCTCATTTGTTCTTTAAACTTTGTGTACCAACTAATTATGATTCTCCGTCTGTYTGCCAGTTCAGCATCACTCATATGTTTCTCCCTTTCCAAAATCCTYGGCAATTCTGTCCAGTTCTTCACAAAGATAAAAGGTGCCTTGTATTTCTTGAGTAAATAAAGTGGGTTATCTTTACTACATTGGCCTGGAGTTGCAACATCTTCAATGACTGGAACAGAGCCATAAGAACAAGCTTCATATATTCTATAACATTCTGAATTRATGCCAACAGGGCAAAGCGTTAGGTCACTGTTAGCAAGGGCATAATGATATTGTCTTGATGTTTCCTTGTTTTCGTTTGGCAACCAGSTGTCTCTGTATTTGACCAAGCAGTCTTTGTACAAATCCCATGTGTCCAGTACCTTTTTCAGTAGCTCTCTAGAGGAACCTCTGTATAATGTCCCTAGAAAATTGCACCTGTATTTTCGTCTTTGCTCTACATTCACAGACATGGGCATTATAAGGGGRAATTTCCTGTATGTAGCTACCCCTAATGGCCACTGATAAAACATTCCATTGTCTCGATTAGTTATGTCATAAACTACAAACACTGCTTTAATAATGTCCCTCATTATGGTGATATAACTTGACAGCCATTCATTATTGCATTTCTCATTGCCAAGAATCACTAAAGCTACATTTTTAAGCATCTTGAAGTTATAAAGCGAATCAAGCCATGCTTGTGCAAAGTCAACTTTCTTCTGYTCCCTTCCATTCAAAATGAGCACCAAGTTCTTGGTATCCTTGGGGACCTTATCGGGCACAACACCTGGTCCTGTGCGGAATTTGAACTTCAGGGACTCTATACGTTTTTCACCGTACTGCCAAACACCTCCAAGCTTTGTCACCAGAGGACCTTTGAGAATGTGCTGCCAGAAATACAGCCCAATAGCCGCTTTTCCCCAGACTTCGATTGTAACATTTTCCAATGCACGCGACGATAACRCCGAATTTATTCGCTTTTGAGATATAGCATCTATAGGACCGCCTTGATTACGTGGCCACAACGAAATCAAAGTATAGAGTGTTACAAAACTATAAGCAATTACACCAACTATTAACAAGTTTGCGCATTTTCTGCTCGGAAATCTTCGCATTGCTTGTCCGCCATATTTTCCCATACTCACTACTGCGCCTGCTCAATATTGTTGMTGCCGACCGCTGACCAAACCTTCTTTTCTTCTTTGCTCTCTACCCAAAAAAGTCCTCAAATTTTCCCTTTTTCTTACACTTTTCTCCAAGTTTCGATATAATGAAGATGCAGGTAATATTCAGTTGTTTTTCAGTGTATTTCTTAGCTCAGAGGCGTTTCATTTGGTGATAAATTACTTTTTATAGGAAGAAAAACTCATTGAGATGTCTCTTGAGACGATTTCCAGCCGTGTCCAAGAAGTGAAGGAGTCTTTGCAGGCGTTTCTGGCTAAACTAGAGATGGAGCAAATGAACTGGTGTGTGTTGGCAACAGCGTCGTCTTGTGCTATAKCTTTTGTGTTGTGGGTKAGGGTGATTGCAAATGGGCTGGTTTGTGATGGCCARAGCGTCGTCTTGTACTGTGGYGTTTTTGTTGT